GTAAGATTAAGAGATGCCAGTAATATGTAATATATTTTGAGGAAAGCTGCAGGAATCAAGCAGAGATAAGCCAAGAGGGAAACCATGTGGACTGCAACCAGCAAGACCGTAGGGGCAGAGCTACACAAGCCCTTTGGAGCAGACATCATGATGCCCCATGCCCCAGATGCTGAATATGGAGCTATAGGACTTGTGTGCCTAGCTGGATATCAGTCTTGCTTTGGTTTCATCTGTTGTTTCTATGCCCTTATTTTCCCCTTGTGGAATGGAAATGTTGTCTATACCAATATGTATTGGATATATGTAACTTGCTTTTGATTTTTGCAGGGGAAAAGAGCATAGAGTATGCCTTGAATATCAAACGAGATTTTTGACTTAGATTTTTGGGCAATGCTGGAACTGTTTCGACTATCGGGACTCTTGGAAATGGACTATTTTTTTTTTCAGTACCAGGGATTGAACCCAGGGGCACTTAACCACTGAGTCACATCCTCAGCCCCCCCTTTTTTTTCATATTTTATTTAGAGACAGGGTCTTATTGAGTTGCTTAGGGCCTAAGTTGCTGAGGCTAGTTTTGAACTCACAATCCTCCTATCTCAGCCTCCCAAGCCACTGGGATTACAGGCATGCACCACCACGCCCAGTGACTAAATGTATTTCACATTGTGAAGTTGTATGAGCTTTTGAGAGCCAAAAGCAGGATGTTATGGCTTAGATATGAGATTTTCCTCAAAAGCTTAAATTAAGTATAAGACAATGCAAGAATTTTCAGAGATAATATGATTAGATGATGAGAGTTGTGACCCAATCAATGGATTAATCTATTGATATGGATTAATTGGGCAGTAACTGTAGGCAGGTAGGATTTGCTGGTGGAGGTAGGTCACTGTGAGCATGCCTTTGGGGTAATATTTTTGTCCCTGGTGAGTGGGCTCTTTCTGCTTCTGATTACCATGTCAGAGCTGCTTTCTGCAGCCACACCATTCTGCCATGATGTTCTGCTTTACCTTGGGCTCAAAGCTATGGAATCAGCTGGTCAAAGACTAAAGAGACCATGAACCAAAACAAACTTTTCTTCCTGCCAAGTCTTTTAGTCACAGTGATACAAAAGATCATTAAAACATAAGGTATTATTATTTTCTAGATGGAATAATGGTTTTGTGTTTGTACATTTTTAAAAGTTATCTTTTAGAGATACAAATGGATAATAGATAAAGTCTAATTGAAAAAAGATTGACTATGTCATGATAATTGCTTAATCTGAATAACAATTATATGGCAGTTCAGTATGTTACTTGCCCTACTTTTGCATATAATTTAAATTATTTCATGATAATTTAAAATTTCATTATAACTTTTGCTTCTATTTGTGTATTTTTAAAAGATCAGGCTTTTCTAATTTAAAATAATTTATAATTTATTCCTTTTCAGTTTGTATTTTAAAAATAGGTAATACCAGTAAGAAATTCAAGTCTACAGCTCCCATGGTGCTTTTTATATGGGGGGATGTGGGGAAATTGAACCCAGGAGCTTGCACATGCTAGACAAGTGCTCTTCCACAGAGCTGCATCTCCAGCCCTTTTTATTTTTATTTATTTATGTAAAGCAGAAAGGGGTGCATGAGATCATGGAATAAGAATGAGGTACCAAAAGGAGGTTTATTGGGGGGCGCTTCCAGTGAGGTTCACTGGTCCCGTGAAAGGGTAAGGGCCCAGGAAGTTGCAGGCGGGAAAGGCAAGAACAATGCTAATAAGGGAAGCTGGAGGTAGGAGGGCCTAGTGATTCTGCAACCTGTACACTTGGAAAAATGAGAAATTATACCCCTTTTGAGTCAAATGTATGATATGTCAAGATCATTGTATTGTCATGAGCAACTAATAAAAAAATAAAAATAAAAAAATAAGAATCAAGAAAGAGAATATGAAAAAAGAAAAAAAATTAAAAATAAATTGCAGCTACGGACAGCAGGTTGGCTGAGCTGAGTTTAGGGGGATCATGTTTGTCCCAGTTTGGTCAGGGCTATTGAATTGGCAGGGTGATTGCTTCCCTGGGTGGGGGTGGGGGTGGGGGGTTGAGGGGGTTGGGGGATTTGGGGGTTGGGGGATTGGGGGGTTGGGATGGGGCGGTGGGGGAGGGGTCCCTTGCCATGTCTACTTCTGATTGGCCATTTCAGGTCTCCTCAGGTAGGTGGAAAGTCCCCACCCACAGCTACCATGAAAGGGGACGGAAAGGGAAGCCTCCCGATCTAACAATTTATTTTTTGAGACAGGGTCTCATTAAGTTGCCTAGGCTGGTCTCAAGTTTGTCATCCTCCTGCCTGAACCTTCTGAGTAGCTGGATTACAGCTGTGTACTGCCATGCCTGGACCACAGTGCTTTTTTTTTCTTCTAAATGAATATACTATTTCTTAATACTTTTATGCATAAGCAACAACATTGTGTCACCTATAAATGTTATGATTACCTTGTAGACACATACCTGGGGGAACTATCTATAAAAAGACAGAAGCCATGGGGAGGTAGGATATGAATGAGCATAAGACATCTTTATATACCCCCAGCAGAGTGGGAGAATGGCTCAGACTAACTTATACTCAGGTAGGGGTTTTAATCATTGGAGTGGATTGGGTGATCTGTAAATAATCACCATGCTAATAGCTGGTAGTGAGAAGGCAATATATATAGCATAAGTGAGCATAAAACCACCATAGATTCAAATCTCAGTTCAATCAATTACTACAATGGACCATGCCATTTCAGTCTGTCAGAATTGTTTTACACATATATTAGCATACTTGATGTGTGTCTGGTTTCATCATTGGGAATCTAAGTTTCAATTGTTATAACTGTCATATAGCATGATGTCTCTATGTGACTGGCTTTCAATAAAAGCCTCAGACCCAAAAACTTGAACAGTTTTCTCTGGGAAGAGACATTTTGCACAAGTCCACATAGTTTACTGCTAAAGAGAAAGCATGTCCTGAGTGGCCCCAGATGGGGAAATGATCAAAAACCTGTGCCCAACTTCTGGATTCTTCCTGATACAAATCTTTTTTCCTGATACTCTTGATTTATATACTTTTGTTCTAATAAAACTTATCCATAAATATAGCCTGGTATTGAGTTCTGTGAGTCCTTTTGGTGAATCTGCAAACTTCAGGGTAACCTCAGTACCTCTGAGTCATAAAGAGAATAATTTAATATTCTATTGTGTATATTTTTAATTGCTTTTATTTTTTAAATACATGACAGCAGAATGCATTAAAAGAGAGTAAAATCATGGCATTTGCAGGTAAATGGATAGAGTTAGAGAATATAATGCTAAGTGAAGTTAGCCAATCCCAAAACATCAAATGCCGAATGTTTTCTCTGATTGAAGACTGCTGATTCATAATGTGGAGGTGGGGGGCATGGGAGGATTAGATGAACTCTAGATACAGTAAAGGAGAAAAGGAGAGGGAGGAGAAGGGAGGGGGCATGGAGGTAGGAAAGACGATGAAATGAGATGGACATCATTACTGTAAGTACATGTATGAAGACATGAATGGTGTGACTCTACTTTTTTTACAACTAGAGATATGAAAAATTGTGCTCTATATGTGTAATATGAATTGTTATGCATTCTTCTGTTATATATAACAAATTAAAATAAAAAAAATAAAAAGAAGAGACTAAAAAAAGAGGATAGTTTAATGCCTGATACATTTAGTACATGCTAGCTACTGACATTTAACTTACATTTGTTAGATGTTATATGGAGCAAAATATACACAGCTAGAACATAGACTGGGAATGCATGCATGACTTTGCCTGCTTTTCTCAACTATGCCCTTGGAAGAAGAAGTATAATGTTTCATTAATGGGGAAGTTAAACTATATGACTCCAAGGTTTTCCACTTATCTCTCTTTCCTGCTGATTTAGAGTGGGGAGGTACCACATAGGAAAAATGGGTAAATGAGTGGGCCTCCAACTGTGACCTTTTGAGAATGCACACACACAAGGGCAACTCTTTAACCATTTTGAAGGGTAACAAAAAGAATGAGCAGAGTTATTGAAAGTATCTAAGATTAAAACACTTAGACTAATATGGAGCTTCAGGTATAGATGTTGCAGGCTGCACCCTCACTTTAGGTAGCCATCTATGGAGGCAGTGTGTTAGAAGTAATCATCAGGAATTTTCCCAACATAGCCAGAACCAAATATGCAGAGGGTCTTAGTCCACTCAGGCTGCATAACAAATACCACAAATGGAATGGCTTATAAACAACAAAACTCTATTTCTCATACTTCTGGAGTCTGGGAAGTCCAAGATTAAGGCACCAATTAATTAAGGGTCTGGTGAGGGCTGGCTGTATTGTTGATAGATGGAATCCTTTTGCTGTATCTCACATAGTAGAAATGGTGAATTATTCAGCAGTAATCCCATTCAATAGGGCTCCTACCTTCGTGATCTAATTACCTCCCAAGGGCCCCATCTCCTAATACCATCAGATATGGGATTACATTTCAACCACATGAATTTGGGTGGGACACAAACATTCAGTCCACAGTACAGAGTTATTTCCAACTCAACACAGAGCACTACAGAAAAAGAGAATATTAAACTATGAAGATTGTAAATAAATATTTCAAAATAGAACTGGGGGTGTAGCTCAGTGGTAGAATATTTGCCTATCTTGTGCAAAGCCCTGGGTTCAATCTCTAGCACCACAAAAGAATTTAAAAATAAACTTCAGGGGTTGAGGGTGTAGCTCAATGGTAGAGTGCTTCCCTAGTATGTGTGAAGTCCTGGGTTTGATCCCCAGCATCACAAGAATAAACAAACAAATAAATGAATTTCATTAGATTGAGATTTAAATTGAGAGCTAATCCAAGGGAAGGAAGATTCCATCTTTTAATTCATTTCTAGGTTTGGGTGTGCACATGTATTTATGATTTCCATTCAAGTGACCACATCTGAAGTGCCTCATGCCTCAAAAATACAATGATAAACACAATAATAATTGTTACGTATGTCAAGCATTTAATTGCTGCTTTTCAAACAAATTGCCTTCAGGATGGATAGGTATGATATTAACAGTGATCACAAGTGGATTTTCTATTAGTAGCATAAGTGATGGTAAGCATAAAACAGGTGCTATAAGTTTGCTCCTTCATGGTTGGATTTTATTTTTACTGAGCCCTTATTTTTTTGAAGTGTCATAAGGGACAATATAATTGCTCCTTATGTTGCAAATAATGATTATCTCCCTCTCACTGTCATCACTGTCATAAGTCATCATATCAATGTCTGTCACATTATCACCGTCTGTCACATTATCACCGTATACATCATCCTTGGAATCTACCTTCTGAAAGGACCTGGTAAAACTCTTCATATTACTTGAACTGAAAAGATTTCCTGCATTTTCCTTCTTTGACTCAGAAATATGGACCAAAGTCTCAGAAGTAGTTTTGCAAACAAGGCATTTTCCCCTGTATTGACAAGTCTTGGCTAATAGAGGCTTGGCTACCAAGACTGTCTTGCCTATACTTATTGACCTTTTAAGATGACGATGTCTGGGTGCCTTGACCGATTTTCTTAGCCTTAATGGCTTGGATAACAAGATTTGGTTTTGTGGATGAGACAGAAAGTGTGACTTGACTGGTCTGGCTGAAGACTGTTGACTAGCTGGCCAAGGTAGCCTGACTGGCTTATCTGGATAGGAAGTGCTGACCCGACTGACTATCTTGTGGGCATGGGCTAGCTTATATGACTTTTCTAGGCTATATGTCTTACATGATTTTTCCAAGTGAGATGACCTGAGATATCTTTGGGGACTTGCTGGCTTACGTGACTTTTGTGGACTCCGACTGGATTGTCTGAATAACAGTCCTACACAGAATGGTAAGAATGACTTTTCATGAGTTGATGACCTGATTAACTTTTGCTTACTGTGTGGTCTACATAACTTTTTTGCCCCCGAAGATCTGACTAACTTTTCTGCACTGGATGGTATGGATGACTTTTCTGGACTTGAGGGCCCAGATAACTTTTCTATACTGGATAGCATGGAATGTTTTTCTAGACTGCATAAATTTTCTGTCCTGGATTCACTGAATGATGTTCTGGATGGCCAAGCTGACTTGTCTTCAATACATTCGTCCTTGTCCCTGAAATGTAGAAATTTTGGAGTATAACAATTTCAAACAAACAAAAAATCCTACCACTACTATCAGAAAACAAAGAACTATGTCAACTTACACTTTGGATTTTTTTCTCTCTAGTAGAAAAATTGAACAAAGTAAGAATTGAACAAAGAGTGTGGTTAAAAAGTATAACTCAGGTTACGGATAGGAATTTATGTTGAATGCTTTTCCTAAAGAGCACTTTACTGTTTATATGCACAGGGCCCTGAGTTCAATCCCCAGCACCATAAAATAAATAAATAAATTTTATTTATTTTACTGTTTCAACCACATTAGATAATCTTATAGTTTATATGTGGGAATGACACAAAGTTGTTTCAAATCTACTATTAAGAGAAAGACACAAAGGGATAGAAATTCCTTATTCTAGAAACTAAATGTTTTATTTAAAATGTCACAAACTAGTCAAGCATGGTGGTGCACACTTGTGATCCCAGCTGGTTGGAGGCTGAGACAGGAAGATTGCAAGTTTGAGGCCAGGCTCAGCAACTTAGTGAGACCCTATCTCAAAATGAAAAATAAAAAGGGCTAAGGAAGTAATTCAGTGGCAGAGCATCCCTGGATTCAATCCCCAGTACCAAAAACAGAAAAAATGAAAGTTGAGCTGTGGATGTGGCTCAGTGGTATAGCCCTTCCCTAGTATGCACAAGGCCCTGGGTTCACTCCTCAATACCCACCCCCAGAAGAAAAAAGTCACAAACTGATAACATAAGAAAAACAGTTTCTTAAACCAAAGTCATTTTTTCCCTATCATATTCACAACATCCAGTTATCTATACATGTTTATATTCATAATATCCTCTATAATTAAGGAACTAGAGTACCAGGACCACATTTTAGACACCAGTCCTCAGACTAGGAAATTTATAGGGAACTAGTATATCATGGCCAGCCTAACCCTCCTATATGAAAGGCAGGGACTGAAGTCATTAGAGTAACAATTTTGAGTATTTATGCTATTAAATCTTAAAATGATAGAGCATCCAAATGTTTAATTGCCTTTGGAAAACAGAGATCCAACTCCCTGCCTCTCTCTCTCTCTCTCTTGATTTTCCCTCTCTGATTTTACTCAGAATTCTCATGTTCCCTTTTCTTCTTCTTAATTTATAATGAAAGTAATAGCCTGGGGGTTCAGTTGAACCCTGAGTGGGAGACAGCTTTGGCCAACATTAATAATATATTTGAGAATATTTAAAAGCTGATATAATTTAAGTGAAAGTATCCCACCAACAAGAAGTTGGTAGTTCTTTAGAGGTCTAGAGGTAATATTAAGTAACCTGGACAACAACAAAATCTCTGTTATATGTATATATACGTATTTGCATCCTTAATTTAAAGATATAAAACTAAACTTGGGTGTAGCTCAGTTGTAGAGCACTTGCCTAGCATGTGCAAGGCCCTGGGTTCCATCCCCAGCACTGCTAAATAAATAAATAAATAAATAAATAAATAAATAAATAAATGCATCAAACTTACATTCCAGCTTTATGGGCATCTTCATTCATGCAGTTATAATGCAGAAAACAAAAACAGGTAAAGATGAAGGCTATGGTCATAACACCAATTATAATGATGAGTAGATGTCTCCTAAAATTGTCCATTTTTGATTCCATTGATTCAAGTTGCTTAGCTCCTGCAAAGACATTGTATCATCAGAGAATGTGTTAGGTAACCAAGTTTCCTTCCACTTTAACAGTGGCTTGGTACTATAGGTCAAGATCAAATCTATTCATCAATGATGTTTTAAAAACATCATTGTAACTTTGTTGGCTGGAATACATCTCCAACTACAGTATATATGTGTGTATATAATATACACACATATAACACACACACACACACACACACACACACACACACACACACACACACACCAGAAATTGAACTCAGAGACACTTAACTTCTGAACCACATCCCCAGCCCTTTTTATATTTTATTTAGAGACAGAGTCTCACTAAGTTGCTCCGGGCCTCGCTAAGTTGCTAAGGCTTATTTTGAACTTGTGATCCTCCTGCCTCAGCCTCCCGAGCTGCTGGGATTACAGGCATGTACCACCATTCCTGACTGCCTCAGCCACAATCTAGAAGTCAAATCTGAGAGGCATGTCTAGCTAATCCACACAATTACCTGGGTTACCCCTGTATTGTGGCTTGCTCATTATAGTACTTAGGTTTTTGAGGGTGTGCATGCCTTGAGTGTTAATGTGTATAAATATGTGTGTTGGGAAAGGGGAGGGGACACAAGGATCACTTGAGCCCAGCAACTTGACAGCAGTCAGGGCAATATAATGAGACCTGTCTAAAAAACAAAACAAAACAAAAAAAAAACCTACTTTTTTTTTTTTTTTTTTTAAGTCTTATGCCAGAGTCATCCACATAGTATTATCTAGTGTGGATGGGGCATTGACTGAGAAAGGGGAGTGAAGAGGGATTAGAAATCTGTATTCTTTTTTTTTTTTTTGTACTAGGGATTGAACTCGGGGTACTCAACCACTGACCCACATCCCCATCCTATTTTGTATTTTATTTAGAGTCAGGGTCTCACTTAGTTGCTTAGTGCCTTGCTGTTGCTGAGGCTGCCTTTGAACTTGTGATCCTCCTGACTCAGTCTCCTGAGCCTCTGGGATTACAGGTGTGAGTCACCATGCCCTGTAAATCTGTACTCTTTGTGCTTATAGTTTGCTTGGATTTTACATACAGAAATAAAAATATCTGGCTGGTGATGTGGCTCAAGCAGTAGCATGCTAGCCTGGCATGCGTGGGGCGCTGGGTTCAATTGTCAACACCACATAAAAATAAAAAAAATAAAGATATTGTGTCCACCTAAAAACTAAAAAAATAAATAAATAGAATATTAAAAATAAATAAATAAAAATATCAATTGTGCTATAAATTATTGAAGACCTACTAATAGTAACATCAAAGTAACAGTAGATTTCCTAAACGTGGCTAGCGTTTGTAATTAAGTGTTTAAATGAATAATATAGTAGATCATAATTTATTAATTTTAAGGTTAGACACATACCTATGGTAGAAGATCCATCACTTTCACTTGTATTTAAACAATTAATTGTCCAAATGGACAAAAATAGGACATAAATTAAAAAAATCATGTCCAGGGCTTTGCTCAAATGTTTCTTCTGCCAAGGTTACTACGGTATTTTATGTGGTTCACCCTGTTCTAGGGTTTATGACATCACTATCATTTTGCATCATCATCTGACATCATTTCGCTATGGGGAAACATTAGTTTCTATATACAAATTTTATCAAATGTCTTTTAATCACTTATTTGCCTTCATGTCAAATACTCTATCAAATTCAAAACAAGGGGCTGAAGGTGTAGCTCAGTGGTAGAGCACTTGCCTAGTATGTGTGAGGTACTGGGTTTGATTTTTTGCACCACATATAAATAAAATAAAAGTCCACTGACAACTAAATTTTTTTAATAATTAAAAACAAGAAAACTGAAGCATTATTGATCACAGAAGGAATATTTAGAGAAGGTAGGTGGAAATGGGCTAGTTCTAGAAACTGAAGCACTATTTCAGGAAGCACTTTATAGCCTTCTATGGACTAAATATTTCTGCCTTCCAAAAATTCACGTTGCAATCTAATCCCAATGTGATAATAGTAGGAGGTGGACTCTTTGAGAGACAATTGTGTCATGAAAGTGGAGCCCTCATGAGTGAGATTAGTGCCCTTATAAAAAGAGGCCAGAAAACTAGCTCCTCCTTTTCACAGGATGAGGACATAAGGATAAGCCAGCAATATGCATCCAGAAGAGGACTTTTGTCAGAACCCAACCATAGTGGCACCCTTATCTTGATCTTTCAGTTTCCAAACTGTGAGAGATAGATTTCTATTGTTTTATATGTGACCCAATCTATGATAATTTGTTATAGAAGCCTGAAATAAGACAGAAATTATGACCAAGAAGTGAGGTATTATTATCACAAATACATAAAAAGGTGGAAGCAGCTTTAGAACTGATAATGGGTGGAGACTGGAAGAGGTTTGAAGAAGCTGAAACCATTGTGAATGGACTAAGGCCTGTCTTTCTTTCTCTTAACAGCAGATTTGAAACAACTTTGTGTCATTTCATAAGTAGACTATAAATTTATTTAATGTGGCTGAAACAATAAAATACTCTTAAGGAAAAGCATTCATCATGAATTCCTATCTGTAACCTAAATTATAGCTTTTACCACATTTCAATTCTTATTTTGTTCAGTTTTCCTATTAGAGCAAAAGAAGGCCAAAAGCCTAAGCTGACATCGTACTGTGTGCTTTCTACTGATAATGATAGGGATTTTGTTTTAAATTGTTACACTCCAAAATTAATTAATTAATTAATTAATTAATTAATTAACTTATTTATTTATTTATTATTATTATCATTATTTTGGTGGTACTATGGACTGAACCCTGGGGTGCTCTACCACTGAGCTACATCCCCAGCCCCTTTTTATTTTTATTTTGAGACTGAGTTGCTGAGTCTGGCGTTGAACTTGCAATCCTCTCATCTCTGCTTCCTGAGTCCTTGGGATTACAGATATATGCCACTACACCCAGCTCCTATTTCTTGATATTTTAATTTCTTGATAGCATTTTTATTATGGAAGACAAAGATTTAGAGCTCATACAATAAGTCCTATACAAGTAATCCCAGTCATAAGAGTTCCCTCCTGATCTAATCACCTCCCAAAAGCCTGCCTCGTAATTTCATCACTTTGGGGATTAGGATTTCAACATGTGAATTTTGGAGGAACATGAGCATTCAGTTCACTATAAGAACCCAAGGAAGACATTTTGTAAGATGGAAAAAACCAGCTCAGTTAAAAATACATGGGAGCTTGGTATAGTGGTATACATCTATAATCCCAGGTACTCTGGAGGCTGAAGCAGGAGGATGGCAAGTTCAAGACTAGACTGAGAAACTTAACAAGACCTTGTCTCAAAATAAAAATAAAAAGGGATGGGAGCTGGGTGCAGTTGCTCACTCCAGTAAACCCAGCAATTTGAGAGGCTGAAGCAGGAGGGTCACAAATTCTAGATGAGCTTCAGCAATTAGCAAGACACTCCACAAGTTAGTGAGATCCTATCTAAAAATTAAAAAAAAAAAGAGCTGGGAATGTAGCTCAGTGGTAAAGCACTCCTGGGTTCAATCCTCAGTACCAAAACAAAAACAAAAATAACAACAACAATAACAACAAAAAACTGTGGGCTGGGTGCAGTGGTGCATGCCTGTAATCCCAGCAGCTCAGGAGGCTGATGCAGGAGGATCATGAGTTCAAAACCAGCCTTAGCAAAAGCAAGGTGCTAAGCAACTGAGTGAGACCCTGTCTCTAAATAAAATA